AATAAATACAAGCATGTGGATTGGAAAAAGCTAATAAATGCTGATCAGAAAATTTTGACAAAATCAATAAATGCTGAGATTTTTTTTTAAATAAAAAATTTAGAAAATTAAGATTGAAAAATCGGAGCTCCCACAAGGCTTGGGGTTTAGAAACCCTCTTTTTCTTAATATATTTACAATTATCTATATATGTGAATTGTGATTTTTAAATGTCTTTTTTCCCCCTTTTTTATATTATATTAAAGTTTAATATTTTGATAATAATCATATGTGTTTGACTTTTCAAGAAATTAAATGTCTTTTTTCTTTTATTATATTATATTAAAGTTTAATATTTTGATAATAATCATATGTGTTTGTCTTTTCAAGATTTTTTTTTATACTTGTTTTTAATGCATTAAAGTATTATTATGAGGGACAATAATTATATATGTTGGGACTTTTCAAGGAATTCATATGTGTTAGATTTCAAATAATTTTTTTTATGCTTGTTCATAATGCATTAAAGTGTTATTATGAGGGTAAGACTTGGGGGTTGGGAGAAGTTAATAAATCCTAAGTTTTTTTTTATATAAATAAAAAAATCAGAAAATTTAGATTGAGAGATTGAAACTCCCACAAGACTTGGGGTTAAAAAGCCCATTTTACTTAATATATAGTATAAAATTAAATATAGATAGATAGATATATCTTTTTATTTTTGTGTGGTTTCTATTCGGATATTTTTTTTTTCAATTTATTTAAGATGGAGTTGTGGGTATCTTTTTTTTTTTAAATTTAATTTATCTGTGTTTTCTATTTGTTTTTAATTATTATTATTTAGGTAAGTTATGATGTGAGTTAGATATGTGATAGACATGTGAGTTTTATTGATTTAAAGTTTATTTAGATAAACTTTAAAGATTTTTTTTTTAGTTTTTTAGTTTTTTTTTGTTATGTTATAGTATAATATATAAAATATAGGTAGATATCTACAACTTTAATAAAAAAAATATTATTTGATTTTTTGAGGGAAGAGAAAAGGAGTGCAAGTTTTAATATTTTTTTTGAAAATTTGTGAGAGAGATTAGGAGGGAGAGATTATGAAATATTTTTTTTATTAAATAAATAAATCAGTCAATAGTTTTTTTTAATCTATTTTGTAAATTTAAAATCAATAATTTTGAAAAATTGATTAATTTGTCCTATTAAGTGATTTAAAATTTTGATACATATACATAAAAAAAATACATAATTATATTATTAAATCATAATTCAAATTTATATGTTATATCTTTTTGAGATCTATAACTAAATTCTTATCTTTTTTTATTTTTATTTTTGTGTGTAACCATAATATATGAGAGAAATTGAAAAGGGTGTTGCAATAATTATGAGAGAAGTCAAAAGGGATTGTGGGTTGAGAGAAGTCAATAAAGGCTGAGGTTGGGTTGGGAGAAGTCAATAAATGCTGAGATTTTTTTTTTAAATCAAAAAATTAAAAAATTAGGAATAGGAGATTAGAGCTCCCAGAGACCCTGGAGTTAAAAATCCTATTTTACTTAATATATAGTATAGATACAGTGACTGTCTTTTCTTTATCGTAGTGATTAGGTGGTTAATTATTCATTTTGTTCATTTAACAAACCAACTATTGCTATTTACATAAATTAACAATAAATATGTTGGTAGTATACTTATTCGCACAACCAGAAGTGCATTTATCATCCTCCCGAAAAAATTTCATGTGATAAAATTTCTTCAAAACACCATAAATAAATAAGTTGTACTACCAGGGAACTCCCACATAACATAATTCAAGTCGAAACTCATTTCCCTCAAATAAAAGGAAAATAAGTAGGAGTGAATATATAAATTTAGAGTAAATTATAAATATACCTCTTAAAATTGGTTAAAATATAATTTATTTTTTCTGATTCTAAAAATTATATCTCATCCAGTGAAATTTCTAATTTCATAACAAATGACTCATTTTATTAATAAATTAAGTCAATTATCAGTTTTTAATCATATTAAAAATTTATTTTAATTAATAATTTAGGTAGTTTTATCATTGTATAGGTGAACAGTTACAAATTTTAATTTTTTAATTAATTCTGTTAAATAAAAATTTATGACAATAAAATATTTGTAATTTTTCAAACTATATTAGACAATTCATATTGGGAGCCACTATTCCTATTCCATTTTGTTTCAAATACACTATCTTTCTTATTCTTATTATACATAGTTACACTAACATTCATTCAAACAAAATAGTCCCTGAAAAAATTAAAATTTCAAATGTATTAACGTATCTATGTATAATAAAAACAAATAAAGAAATGTATTTAAAATAAAATGAAATGAAAATAGCGACTCCTTTCATATTTTAAGTAAATTTCAAATGATGTATTTATAATTTATTTTCAAATTTATATGTAATATGAAGAGGTATTTTAGTAATAACACAGCACAGTGTCACGACCTTTGTTATTTCTAAACTCAACTCTTTGCTTCCGAAATATTTTATTAGCTTGCCTTTCCTAGGACTTTTTCTTGGTAAGTAATTTGGCGAGACGTGACAATTGGCTCACATGCCACACGATTTGTTAGCTGCTGTGGGGCCGACAATTGCCGAAGGTGAACGTGGCGGCCTCGTCGAGGACGAGGGCAAGAGGTACCAACACATGTGGACGGCCCACTTTCAAACCGTCAAACAGTTAAGATGCATGCAGTCTGAACAATTGCAGATTTACGTCTCTGTTGTTGTTAGTTTGGTGGGCCCGATTTGGAGCTGTTTATACCTGGCCGAAACAAAGGTCCTTTCTTATATATTTTATTTTGTGTAAATTACGCTTTTAAATTTTATTTTATTTTAAATAATTTGATTTTTATATTTTAAATCTAAATTTAATTTGGTTTTTTCAATAAAGTTAATTTTTTAATTTATTAAGGTATATGTGTAGAAAAAACTAATAAAAGTTTGAGGAAAAATTAAATTGACACTTAATTTAAAATGTAAGAATCAAACTATTCAAATTAAAACAATAAGAATCAATGTAAAACTAAGTGTTGAATTAAAATAATTTATTTGATATGTATAAAATAAAATTTTAAAATTATTAATTTTAAACTTTTTCTATCAATTTTTGAATTATGATAGTGGCAATTATAGGACCAGTGACAATGGTGGAGGTGAGGCAACAATGGTGATGCCTCTGGTGGTGATGGTGGTGGAGGCGGCGGCAAATTGATGGTGATGGCTATGGTAGTAGTAACAATGATTGTGAAAGTGGACAATTGTAGTATTAGTTAATTGTGGTTGTGATAATTATAACGATGGTGGTACATGTGACAAAGATGACAATAATAGTAAATGTAGTGGTACATGTGACAAAGATGACAATAATAGTAAATGTAGTGATAGTTGTAGTGGTGGCGGCTATAGTAGTAGCAGTGCCGAGGCAAGGGAGTAACAGTAATGGTGATGGCATCATAATAATTACGTCTCTGTTGTTGTTAGTTTGGTGGGCCCGATTTGGAGCTGTTTATACCTGGCCGAAACAAAGGTCCTTTCTTATATATTTTATTTTGTGTAAATTACGCTTTTAAATTTTATTTTATTTTAAATAATTTGATTTTTATATTTTAAATCTAAATTTAATTTGGTTTTTTCAATAAAGTTAATTTTTTAATTTATTAAGGTATATGTGTAGAAAAAACTAATAAAAGTTTGAGGAAAAATTAAATTGACACTTAATTTAAAATGTAAGAATCAAACTATTCAAATTAAAACAATAAGAATCAATGTAAAACTAAGTGTTGAATTAAAATAATTTATTTGATATGTATAAAATAAAATTTTAAAATTATTAATTTTAAACTTTTTCTACCAATTTTTGAATTATGATAGTGGCAATTATAAGACCAGTGACAATGGTGGAGGTGAGGCAACAATGGTGATGCCTCTGGTGGTGGTGGTGGTGGAGGCGGCGGCAAATTGATGGTGATGGCTATGGTAGTAGTAACAATGATGGTGAGAGTGGACAATTGTAGTAGTAGTTAATTGTGGTTGTGATATTTATAACGATGGTAGTACATGTGATAAAGATGACAATAATAGTAAATGTAGTGATAGTTGTAGTGGTGGCGGCTATAGTAGTAGCAGTGCTGAGGCAAGGGAGTAACAGTAATGGTGATGGCATCATAATAATTCACATTGATATTTATGCAAAATTAATAATAAATTTAATAAATATTAAATAAAATCTCGCTGTCCTCAAAAAAAACAAAAAAAAAAAATCTACTTAAATGTTAAAAAAAAAAAACTTAACCTACATTTTAAAAATTATGATTATCAAATAAACTTATTTAATTTCCACTTAATACATTCAATTTTAAGTATTACAATATATTGAATTATTAAACACCACCTCATTACTAGTATTTGCCTATTTCTTGTAGTCAGGAATTTTTGTAAACCTTTTTTTCTTCAAATTTTTATTTTTGGGATAAAAATATACTACCAGAGCCTCATAAAGTGAAGTATAGTGCAGGTTAAAAGGGATTAAAATTTTAAACATACATAATTTTTATTGTTTTAGATGTGATTAGATTTATTAGAAAAAATAGAAGGTAAAAAAATTTGCCCCTACGAATTTCTTCCTCACTCTTTTTCCTCCATAAATTCAAAATCCAAACACACTAAGGCCATGTTTGTTTGGGCGGATTGGATTAGCATTCCCATGACTAATAGTCTTAGGATTACGAATTCGTTGGATTATATATCCTATCTTTACTAATAGTCAAGTTGTCAAGTTTAAAATAATTAGTCCGTACTTCAATTGTTTAACCAAACATCGGATTAATAATTTTATTGGACTATTAGTCCAATCCCAAGCTCATGTCCACCCAAACAAACATGGCCTAAGTTAAAACTTTGATAAACCAGAGGTCCATATGCTGAAAAGCAAACATCAAGATATGCCACCATATTCAAATTCATAAGAGTCAAGAAATGATGATGCAAGTTTCAAATGTAAAGCTCTTGTGTTATATTCATTTTCTCCCTATTTAATCACTTTTAAATTACATAATCTTACAAATTTGTGCTACTACAGAACTCTGTGCCACCAATAGGCACCATTAACATAAAATAAATAAATAAAAAAGTTATATGAAGCAGAGAACAAATACGTGTACACACAACTCTACAGTAACATTATGGATCAACCTATTTACAGAACATTAATGCCCCAAATAAGTATATGAGATAGTAGATTCAGAGCATACCCTTTGTCTGAGTCTCTGTTTGGCTATTTCAGTGAATGCAGAATACAAAAAACATGCTGTTCGGTCATGCCTGTGACAATAAACATAAAATAGCATTGGAATAATCCGATCTGATTTGATAAATAAAATCAGTAGACAAAGGAAAGATCATATCTACCTTCATCAATTAAAAGGCATTATTATTATAAGGATGTTAAAAATTTGTGAAAACGCTCTACTCTGGTCTGATAATGGCATGACGATCTGCCAGCTGACAAATTCCTTCTCCTTTTCAAGCGGAAGAAATAGTCTTCCGTATCTAAAACATAGGAGATCTGGCACACAAAGCTTTCATGATTAGTGACAGTAAGAAAATTGACCATGCACAAAACAAGGATACCAACATCATCCACTCTCCACCCAAGTAAGAAAGGCTCACACAATTAATTCCACAACACATACACAAGAACCTGCTTCATATATATATATATTATGCATATAAATTCCAGAAGGCCTCTAAAAGTGACTTATATGCCCTAACTCCACAACCAACCGTCAGTTTTGATGTTAATAATCCCAATATCCTCTCCAGTTTTGCCTTCAACATTCTTTTCTATTGATTTTTGTTTAGACTTGAGAGTTCCTAAAATAAAAAGGGATTGATAGGTATACATCATCATTGTTTTGATTTTTAATCATTGGCTTCAATGTTTTTTTTTTTTTTTTTTCCCTTTTTCCTTTTAAACGCCATTTGATTGATATGTGTCTTTGTGATGGAATTGTATGTCCCTTGAGTGTCCAAAACAAGTCTGGTTCTAAAAAGAAAATGGTACACGGTTGAACACTAGTCTGACATGAACACCTCACATTCCTAAAAATGTCCATACTTCTTAGTTGTCTAGATTTCCCACCAAATAATTTGAGCTTCTTAGTGCTATCCTGCGTGTGTGAGAGAGAACAAAACAGAAAAAAGGTAAATGCTATGCAGCCAATATTAAGTAATTGCGATTAGCTTTCCTAGGTCAATCAATTACCAAATAATCCCGGCGGATATTTCAATGTCTCAGCCTGCAAGTATAGTGACAGTGAAATACCTTTGATGAGCTGCAAGTCATCTTACATTCCAAACCATTGACTACACAAACGCCTTCCATAGCCTTGCATATGGCAGAAGATTCATCAAAGTCTGCATATTTGCGCTTATTTCTGCATATTTATCCATATATACATGCTTAATAAGTAAATCATCTGTTGAATTTAATTATCCAATAATTTCAATATCCTAATTCTAAGTAAAGCTCTTCGAGACATCTTATTCTAAGAGTAGTCCATGGGATAAGCACCCATCCAATCCCTATAAGCACCTTGTAATAAGGTACAATTTGCTTGAAACATAATGTAAGGACACACTATTATTGAACCCACCTAACAAAACACAGACAAAAATTAAACAAACCATAAACACTTTCAAAACTAATTATATCAATGTTCTTAAAAATGAAAGCAAATTTCAGAACCAAGTATATCACCTCCTTATTCATGGTAAGGTGGGGCTAGAGACCTTTAGTGTGAGTGTTCCCTAGGGATGTGACAGAAGAGAAGAAAAAATCCTTAGTTTTTGGTCACCTTAAGTTTTGATGAGAATTATTTGGGGACAGCAATTGGAGGGACTTTGATGGGTTGGAAGAATATAATTTTCTTTTTTGTATAGTTGGTCATTGAGTAGAGTTGATCTGTCCTTGAACCAACTTTTGGACTGTGCAGAGCCATTTGAGTAAAGAGACAAGGTATAGGCCTTTTAGGTCTTTTGTTTTCTTTCTCTCGTAGTTGTATCCAGATGGAACCATAGCAGTGCCCTTTCCATAAATAAATATCATTTACTTATAAATGAAAAAGAATGGACATGAATCAATCAACATACCATATGACTGTCATGTTGGCAATAATAGTCTGTTTAAGAGAGCCCATGTAGTGGTTGGTCCAACAAAACTCAGCATAACCAAAAAAAATAAAAAATAAAAAAAAATAAATCAAAATGTTAACTTCATAAGCTTGAAATCAATTACCTCTGCAGAAATATGCCAGATGGCTCCTTTTTTCGGGAATTAACAGGAAGAAAATCATTGTGCAAATAAGCCACAAAATTAGGGTCCACAGAGACGGCAACCATGTCAACCTTGTCATTCCCATCATCCATCAACTGAATGGACAAACGAGATGGGGCAGATGACTGCAACAAGTATAAAAGCAATTTAAACATCCATGTGACAAAATATAAAACACCCCCACTAATAAGAGAAAACAACGAGCAAGCAACTTACACATTCAAATCGGTATATGTTCTCATCGTGAAGAACAACATGTACATTGTCATAATAAACTGAATCCACATAATTCTGTCGCATCCGAGATTTTTCATACTCGTATAATTGAATAAGCTTATTATCAGTCTCATCACTGGCAACAGTTTGAAGCTACAACAAAAACAACAAATTAGAACATTTGCTGGAAAACAGTGATGAAAAAGACAAAATAGGGCTCACAGACGCATTACCTGTTTCACCAGCTTATATATCAACTTGTCCAATGTAAATAGCACATAAGACTGATTTCCAATAATAGCCTGGCAATCATCCTCAAACTTCGCATTGTCAGCTGCTCCATCAAGCAAATTATATAGGGCACTCATAAATCTGCACAGCATATGCAGTCCATGAAAAAAAAAAATACAGTAAGAAATTGTGAGTTGATTAAGAACCAACGATGCCATGTCAAACTACCTGCTGTATGGATCAGGGGGGTTAGCTTCCTTTGCTGTTCTCCATTTCATTTTGGCAGCTGTTGAGTTCAGTTTTGCTGATAATAATCTTTCATACAATATCTGGAAGAAAGGACAAAAAAAAAAAAAAAAGAGTATATCATAAATCATTAAGAAGAAAATTGAATTGCATCCCAACAATGCCCAAGTTAGAAATGATGGGGGAAAAAAAGAAAGGAAAGAATAGAATATCACTTGTTGAAGCCTAAAAAGCACATAGAAACTGTCATTTCCATAAAAAGCCCGGGAATATTTCTTTTCATTATCATGTAATGCTGAAGTGACATGCTTTGCAAGAGGCTTCACAGTCCGAAGAAAATTTTCTGACGGTGGTGATATGCCATCTCTAACAAAGCGCACATCAGGCATCCCATCAGCCTCACCCTCACTCTCAACTTTACCATCCATCTCATCTTGTTCTCCATCTTCATCTTCTTCATGCTCGTCCTGAGAGCACTCATCGGCAGCAGACTCACTACCCGAAACATCTTCACCCTGAGAAATATTTTCACTATCCTCATCATCAGCATCTACATTGTTTTCTCCTCCAGCATCTTGACAACAGAGCTCTTCCTGATTCACAGCTTTGTATTGCATGCTTTCAGAACTACGCATCATTTTAGGGATAACCTGTGAACCACCACCATCTCCATAGACAACAAAATTATCCTCTTCAAAATCACCATTAGGTGATAACTCACCCTCTTCTTTCTCAATTTTGGGCGACTCAATAGATTCCTTGTGATATCCGTTGACGTTAATACCCTCTGTGAGCACTCCATTTGTCAGGGGAACTGGTCTCAAAACATTGCCACCCTAGAGCAGAAGAGAAGTATACTATCATGATATCATCTTAACAGATAATAACAAAGTTGAGAACCAAGGGGAAGCATCCATGATATCATAAAAACTGGAGGACATATCCATTAACCAATGCAAATAGGATCTTCAGCTCATTAAAACTGCATACACATACCTCTAAAGAAGGCACATCATCAATATAAGACTTGGCCTCATTATCTTCAACAGCAGCGCGACCAGGTCCAAGAGAAGTTGCTCCATGTCCTTGAAATTAAAAATAATCTCAGCATTGCGAGGTGATTAAGAAGTCCACAAAAATGAGAGAGAGAGAGAGAGATCTACATATAACTAGGTCAATGATGATAAAAAAAACTTCTACATATACAGTGGTGATGTCAATTATACACCATGGATCATAAAATAATATAAATCATGCAAGTGTAACCCCAATACACAAACCTGATGTTAGTTCCATACTGACTCTCCCATGAATGTTATCTGCTCCAATAGCCAGTGATGCTGTGGAATTGGTTAGTTGTTCAATGGAACCCACTGCTCGAGACACTGTATCCACAACAGCCATAATCTTCAGCTCCTTCTCTAGATGAAAACAATTATCTTTGGCCAAAGTATCCCCATTTGCCAAACTAATCTTGCAAGAATTTGCTTGCTTCAGCAATGTGCTTTGATCACCATTGTTGACAGGTTTTGATTGGTTAGCATTCAAGATAGTAGCAGCAGCACTTGGACTACCATCACATTCTACTATACTAGTTTTAGTACCTTTCCCAGTATGATGTCCAGCCTTTCCAACATCTTCAGTGCTCTCTAAATCATGAGGCCGAGAAGGAACACCCAGCATTGGATCCAAGAAGGTAGTCCAAAGCCTCATAACTTTATTCAATTGCTCTTTTGATGTACAAAGCTCTTCACAGGAATATTTAATAAGCTTGCACAAGTCTTCATGAATGACAGTGTCGGAGTACTCAAATTCAAGATTTGGACAAATAGGATGTCTGCTTCCAGCAGCCATAGACAGAACCACATCATCCACTCTATGCATTTTTTCTTTAATTTCTTTGATCTCGGCCACCAAGGCTGTTCATTAGAAGCATGGAAAGGATCCATGAGAACAAACAGTGGAAGTATATGAACAAAAGCACATATGAAAATAAACCTTGTACACGTAAAAAAATGTCTTTACAAAAATTTAAATAACCAAACCCTCATATTGCAACCTTGTGTGAACCATCTCAAAATTCTTGTGTAAGTTAGACATAGCTATGGGTAAAAAAAAATTATTCACACAAAAAAACTATGGATAAAAAAAAAAAAAAGATCAATGAAATAATAGACTAATGCTTTTGCACTTAATAGAAACATAACATAAAATAATTTTACTTCAGTGGAAAAGGTTAAGAAACTTGGTGTGCAAACAACCCATTACAAGAAACGTGGTATTAAGAAGAAGAAAAATCAGTAGCACAAAGACTGAAATCTCTGGCAAATATCGTACCCATTATTTCCAGATGAAACATCTGTGTACAGATTATAATATGAAGTTATCATTGGATGCCAATTATAACTGGTGAACAATGTCTGCCAACATTATATCAGGTAAAGCCATGAAGGTTAAAAACCAATTTTCCTAGTCATAAGGTGCGGCAAATTGGTGCAAATATGCTATATACTTAGAAGTTAGAAATTGTGGCAGCAGCAGCAGTAACAAAAACCTTTAAAAAAAAAAAAAAAAAAAAAAAAGGTGTAAGCATCATGGTGGCAGGTTCATGGCAGCAGCAGTGACACTGATGCTGGCAAAAAATCAAAGAAGATGGCAGTAATAGTGTGGTGGTATTACCAATGGCATTTGTAATGGCAGCAGATAAAGATGATCATCACAGTAACGATAAAGATGCCAGTGATAGTAATTAATAGAGGAGTTGGCAGCGCAGCAATACTGATTGTAGTAGTAGCTGCAGAATTCAATAGAATCAATAGTGATTATTGTGGTTTATTTATCAAGTATGAACATATCTTAAGTATGAAACTAACCATAATTTTTAACTTGATAGAGTGAGTTTAATAAGTCAATCTATAATTTTTAAAAGTTGCCAAATCGCCGCATCATTTTTGGTGACAAAGCCCAAACTTCAAAATGATGGAGAAAGCCCATTATATCTTGAGAATTTGTTAGCCAATAATGCATTTGAGACTGATCTAACCAAACCAAATAATTTGAAACCAGATTGTTTGTATCAACCCCCATAAATGTGACCAGGTTAAAGGTCAAATGGTTTGGAATGACAAAATCACTATGATTTCATCTAAACATGTGACCTTTTATTTTAATATGTAACTAAGTAAACTTACATACAACTCTTCTATCTACAACGTTTGCCTAACAATCAGCAATGCATCTTCCAGAGAACTCGAAAGAAACGGCGTTCCCCCCCCCCCTAGAAGTGAAAATAGTCACCATAGTTTATGAACTACACCATCACAAAAGCTATTCCCGGTTCCCTTTTTCTCTCTAGTTAGTATGACACCCACACCTATATCAGGATTTAAATCTTGCACTCTCCCTTTGGGGGAGTGAACCCATGGAAGAAAAATAGCCCCCCCCTTTCTCTCTAGTTAGTATGACACCCACACCTATATCAAGATTTAAATCTTGCACTCTCCCTTTGGGGGAGTGAACCCATGGAACAAAAATAGCCGCCCCCCCTCTAGTTAGTATGACACCCACACCTATATCAGGATTTAAATCTTGCACTCTCCCTTTGGGGGAGTGAACCCATGGAAGAAAAATAGCGTAAGCACTCGGGAGTAATGTCCCTCCACTAGGTTTGAGATTCATGCACAATGTATCAGAGGCTGGCCTGACACTGATAAACACCCGCTGACCAGTGTGATACATCAGAGAGCAAGAAAACCTATTGCTTGTCAAAAGCTGCTGGAGACAGAATTTTACGTGAGAACTATAAAACGAAGCCCCAAAAGTTACTTTAACTTGATGTAATTTACCCTGCCTTGTTCACCTCACCCATGAATGATGCTTAGGATGGCTGGTTCATCTAGTGGTTCAGATAGTTTTCCTTCAAATGAATTTTGGGGAGAATTTTCAATTTTATTTTATTTTATTTATTTTTTTGCATTGGAGGAAGGTGAGGGGTTGCAACTTGGGTGTTTGTTTAGGACCTGCTGAATAAATTAGTAACCACTTCTAGCCACTCAGTCTGAGTTTTACAACATTGAACCAAACACAAATCTGCATTAATCACAATGTAAAACAAAAGGGCCATAGCCTCTAAATTTTCCCATTCAGAATGAAGATGAGATATGCATGAAAAATGCATAGCAATTGGACTCTAGTTATCATTCTTCAATATATATATATATATATATTTTGACAAGTATCACTCTTCAATAATATTCTGATGTAAGCAAAAATTATAGAGCCTGTTTTATACGTAATCAAGGAAAACTGGGGTCATCTCAAAATTCTTGTGTAAGTTCTGGGGTCATCAGTAATCACTGGCATTTTAAGCTTGAAAGAGCCTAAAAATTAAGGATTTGCCATACAACTACAGGCATCACTGAACCCTATGTCCTTTCATTGAACTAATGCTGCATGGCATCCTCCTTAAAAATGCAAGATGCAAAGCATATCATTTAAGAAATGTTTAATTGGCTCAAGTGGTCAGTTAATTTATATGAAATATTTAGCACTGATATAGCCTCCACTTAGTGGACTAATAATCAGTGACGAGTTTGTACCTGTGCATTGTACAAAGCAAATCAACAAATGAGATCATCATGCATAAAATAAGTTCATAACTTTTACTATTACAGAAAAAAATAATAATAATAAAGAGAAACATACGTAAAGAATGATTTAGTAGTAATGGAAATGGCTTCTTGAGAGTATTCTATGCCAATTACAAGCCAAAAGATATAAAGACTTGCAGCTGCTCTTATAATTTTGCACACTTATGAATTTTCCCCCACTAGTCATGCATTTTTTCTATTGTCCTACTGCATACTCATTACCATACAATGAACATGACATCATAAAGCTAATAATGAAAAGGCAAAATAATCAAATCATCTAACATCTACAACTTACATTTTGTGCTCAAGTTCTTTGAATCCTGTTGCTTGAAATAGAAGCTACGATGATCAAGCGATTTATAGTGGTTCTTAGCATATATTTCAGCCCAAACCTTGTTAAAATCAGAGCGGCATTTGTTCCACTCATCTTGTTTCTGCTTTATGCGAGTTAGTATAACAGGCAATGCAACAGATGGATTCTTACGTAATATGTCCATCACATCCAGACCATGATCACCATAGAGTCGTTCAATACACCTTAAATTAAGAGCTACATGATGAGAGAAAAGCACAATCAGAATATGATCAATGTATAGTATTTGACTATTTGTAAGCAATTAAACAAATAAGGCATAATAACAATGTTTAAATACATGCCCTAAGATAAAACAACTGAACACCTGTAAAATGGTCTTCAATATTGATTGGACTCTCTGGTCTGATTGTATTATCATTAAGGCAGTTCAACAATTCCTCTGCTCGCTTAGAAGTTGAGCTCACAGACTCCAATAACATGTCTAGCTCAAACCTGAAAGTATTAGACAACAATACCATCATCACTTACCAAAGCAAAATGACGTAGACAAAATTGCAACAACCAAGGTGCAGAATTAAACAAGTGCAGTAGCCAAGTTCCATCATTAAACAAGTCGAGTCAATGAAGCCTTGAATCCTTGATCAAACCTAATAGAAAGGAACTTTTGTCTTCAACATAAACATCAAGTTTCATTCAAGCAGTGCAGAATGCAATAAAGGATATCTAAAAAACAATTCTTAAATACAGGAACATGGATTTTTCTAATTCCACACAGTAATAATTAGTTGTACAGTGATGTAAATAAATTGATAAAATATACAAAATAAGGCCTATATTACCTAAACTAAAACAACAATATGAGAGAGTTTTTACCTATCATCCTCACATCTAAACAGGCTTTCTTCGTACTGATTTCTGCGCATGTGTTTAAAAGAGTAATCCTCACTGCCAGAAGTTACAGATACCCAATGGTCATTTAACAGTTGAGCACCAAGCTCTGATCTCTGACTTACTAAAGGTATTGGATACTGCATAGTGTCAAGAATGAAATCGCAATCAACAACGAAGTTACGATATACAAACAAACAAAAGCAGAAGAAGAAAATAAAAATCGCACATCATCAGGCAGAAGTCGATAGCTAGGAGTACAGCGTTGACAGTTAGAAAGGTCAAGTTCTTGGATAGATTTTCCCATATACTTCTCCTTGTATCTATCCTTTTCTTTTGCTCCCTCAATTTCACGTTTCTGCTCCTTATCTTTGTCCTCTACCTTCACCGTTTTGGATACATGCCCTTCAGTCCACAAAGGTTCTGCTATTAACAGAAAAGCTACGTCAAACTTTGCAAACACATATGAAAAAGCAAAATATCGAAATGTTTGTTCCACTAGCTCAAACCAAGCAGTCAAAAAAATATTTAAATAAAAAATTAAAAAATCTTGTCCTCCATTCACAATTACTAATTAAAGTCTCGCTTTATAAAGGCTCATTAGTTGAGCACCCAAAAAAAAAAAAAAACGCCAAATTTATTCCACATTGGATGAGGGTCTGTGAATGGTAGATTAGCTACAGTCCTAACCACTGGCAATAAATGTATAAAGTGTCTGCTTTCAAGTTTGAACCCACAACCTCAAGAATGATAGACCGCATTTTAAACATGGAACTAGTGGCTCTTATTAGTTGAACAATTGAACAAAAACTAATGATTCTATTATAAAGGATAAAGGACAAGGCAATGTTACATACTTTTATTCATAACTCCAGCAAGAAATTCATCTGCAAATGACGAATTAATCAGAAACAACCTTAATATGTCCAGGAACCCACAACCTCAAGGCTGATAGACCGCATTTTAAACACGGAACTAGTGGCTCTTATTAGTTGAACAATTGAACAAAAACTAATGATTCTATTATAAAGGATAAAGGACAAGGCAATGTTACATACTTTTATTCATAACTCCAGCAAGAAATTCATCTGCAAATGACGAATTAATCAGAAACAACCTTAATATGTCCAGATCAAACAAGTTAAACAACAATAAAATTCCAAGGGTTACCAATATTCTCACAACGCTCCAAAAATTCATTGAACCCCTCCATAAGGTCTGGAAATTTTCCAAGTAAATCACCAACCTGCAATGAATAAAGTTTTCGAACAATGTAAATCAACCTAATTGGGTACAAATTGAACAATCCTTGGCCAAAATGGGGAAGGAGGGATGGAAGCTATTTCGGCCTGAGTCTGGTTCTATATACCATACACAGTGGACATGGACAGACAACAGGCTGACAAAGAAATAACTTGTAACTGATACCAAACCAATAGAAGGGCTAAAAGATCTATAAGATATACCCAGACTACATATCAAATATATATATATATACATATGGGCAGCGTTCAATCATCAAAGGATGGGAGCATAGTCTCAACTCTGGGCATCTTGAAAATCGGACAGAAGCTTGGTTAAAATTTTCGAGTCAATCATTCAGATGGGCCAGCGCAGGGCAACAATCATCCAACAACTTTTTCCATGCTTAAATAAGATTTCCACGTGCCAACACCATACAGAATCAACAGTGCCCAGATTTAGCAAGGGGGGTTAACCCAATTTATCATTAATGAACGGAGCAATTAGTTCAAAAGATGAAACAAAAGACACTTGCCACCCAAATAGATAGCATTGATAGAGTGGCACATACCAAATTTTGTAATTCGCTTCTTGTGATTATTTCTGTGCTGTATATATGAAGACACTTCAAGAATGCCTGGTAATTATCTGAACTGCACAACCTCTCTTTCACTTTCTCACAGAAAATGAACTCTTGCTTGTACATGCCTGGAATGACATTTCGCAAACAAAACATTTTAAAAGGTAAGAAACAAGGGAATGACGAGACTATGCATTATGTGGCAACAATCCAACCAAAAAAACATAAGACACAAAACTGACATTTTTAAACTTCAAAACATTGAGATCATGGACATATACTCCAAAAGAATCTAATAACAGGCAAAATTCATTCTCATCAACATGGGAAAATCAAAGTTTAGAAGTAGAGCAGAAAAGGAGAAAAGTGGGGTGGACAGCTTCCACTCTTCTCTGGCAACCAGCTAATATCCTTAGCAAGTTACATAAAAACAATATGAGTGAATTTCCATGACAACATGAACTCATGATTCAGAAATAATGGACTGAGTTTTTCAATCACCTCTATTATTTTCCAAAATCCACCAAATAATCATTCATCCGAAACAAGAGACCAATAACAAATACTTATCAATTACCCAACATTTAAAAAAAAATCCACAAAAATCATATAAATGTGACTTAAGAGCTGATTTTTCAAGGCACATCATGACATGACAAATCACAACTGCTTCTACATATAAAAGACTGGAATAAAAAGATAAAACAAAAGGAATTTTCTGAAGGCATCTTTATAATCATAAGTGGCATCATCAACTCACTTCTCAATGCATCTTTATCATCAAAAGAGGCCACAACAGGATTCACTCCAAAGTCTTCAACCTTCCGGGCAGATTTCCTCTTTTCATTAAGGCGTTGCATGCTGAAGTCCCTATTGCTATCATTCTCAGATTCTTTGTAGTCCTGATCACGATTTCTTCTGTCCCTGTTCTCCTTTTCAGCACGTTTCCTCTGATCCTTCTGCATTTTCATCATTGTTTTATCATCATCCATGTCAGTGCGTTCAACACTTAAATCATGATCTGTGTGGGGTGTAATACTCCTGTCTCGCCGGCGTTGCTAAAAAGCAAAGGAGGCTCATCCTTTTATTATGAAAGAACTAGAAAACAAGTATACACAAACATGGAGGAGAAAAATAAACAAAGAAACCATGAAAGGAAACAAGAATTTACCTTGTCTGCAGGTACCTGCCGTGATGTGGTCATAGCAGAACTCTTCTCATCATTGCGATGAAAAGAATGTCGGCCAAGTGGAACATGTGGAGCTGATGCTGTAGCTGAAGTATCGGGTAAAAATCTTGTGAACTCATCAAGCAAATCTGAGTGGTCTGAAAAAAGTACAGCAACCTACAAAGCAATGGAAAATAATCTCTAAAACTATAAAAATCAGTATAACAAAATTATCCACACACCAATGGATGGTCAAATATAAAGCAATTTATGTCATTTAAGTTAAAAATAAATGATACTACAATTTTACCTCATGATAGACCTCAGTAATGCCCTTATGCTCCTTTCTGTACATATTCAAGATCTCAAGAAATGATTTATATACATGATCATCATTTTGGAAACGTTTCTGTAGAGAGAAAATCCATCTATTAGACGCCCCATAAATTATAATCAGCGGCTCAATATACACAATCTAAAACAATTTCACCTTTATCTTGTTTACAAAACTTATAGCTTCTTCAAACTCAACAGTTCTCTTTGCCGGGGGCTCTTCCTCATCAATGAGGGTAATTTCATAACCCTTTGGCAAGAAGGTGTTAAACCCAAAGATTAGATTGTTGTGCCCTTTGAATAGTTCTTTCACCCTCGCTATGACACCAGTAGTGTCGATTCTGAAAAAATTAAGTCCATTAAATGAATTTGATGAAATATTCAGTGCTGACCCATTTGCAACGTGATAAACAGATGAGGAGAAAACTATGTACCTTTGAGCCTTAAAATCTTTCATGACATCAAGGAACATGTCATATTTATCTCTTTGATCTTGAAACATTTCCTTAACTTCCTTGAGGTAAGTTAAGGCATCATTGGTTGTTAGTTTCTGCGCACCTCCACCACCACCACCACCACCAGCAGCTCCAACTCCTCCTCCTCCTCCAGGGATCTGGGGCTGCCCATTGCTTCATCACCAGAAAAAATATTATAATTTGACAAAAGGTCAACTCACTCAATAATAACACCAGTAAACCAAAATCCATAGAACAGCTGATTTGCAGTTCATCTTATATTCTGCAAATGCTAATTTTGGTGCTGAGAGTGATAGGTTTTCTATCAATTTTTATAATTTTTTGATAACAAAGATATCCGGAGCTTTGCCCCGACTACTCCCCAAATACATGTAGTTTCACCATCTAATACATACAGCATAATTCCTGGTTAGATATTTCATAAGATTTGAACTCGTGACCTATGCTTGCTAAGGCACATATCACAAATCAACTCATCAAACGGCTAACCCCTTGGAGTTTAGGTTCTATTACTTGAAAGCACAGAAAATAAAATCCTACACTCTACATGGTTAGATGCAACTATTAGGCTCATTGTTTGTAATTTTTATTTGCATCTCTTTTCCATGATTAGTTTGGCAACCAAAAAAGTGGTTGACCATACAATCTATTCGAAGTAAGTAAAAATAGAGGATATCACCAGATTCTGATCACAAAATTTTCCTACTGAAACCATGTACCTGAAATCAGTGATTAAACATACAAGACCTCACAGAATTCAAGGAAATCCCATGGTAACTCATCATAAAACATAGCATTGAATAAAAAAAATAAACAATACAACAACCCAATAAATCAACCCTACGGTCGCCTACCAGGAAAGAAACAGATCAACTTACAGTAAAACCATTACAATACAAACCTTTTTTTTTTTTTTAAATACAAAATTCTAACCAACAGGATTCATAATTTACCAAAATCAAACAAAAGAACAAATCGAGAATCCAACAATTGTAGAAAGAGATACATATGATAAAAAGACATAATTATATGGAGAGAGAGAGAGATATAGCTCACGATTCCACACGAGAAGAACTGAATGGCCGCTTAAATTGCGAGTTAGCATTAACATCATCTCGTAATCGCTTCATCTCTGGACAACAAACAAAAGTTACTTTTTTTTTCCTTCATTTTTTTTTTTGTCAAACCAAAAAACCGCAAAAAAAAACAAAAAAACAAAGGAAAAAAAAATATTTCCAATCAAGTCCTGTACTCTTACCACTGGTTCCCCCAGATTTTCTCGCGAAAGGAACAGAGAACTGGTGAGCAGATCTAACGAGTAACAATCTTGAAAAGCAAAATCGAGTTCAATTCTTTCGATCAACTTTTTGTGAGAACGAATCGTCTTCTACTCTAATTTTTCTTTCTTCTCTCTCTCTCTCTCTCTCTAACGTTTGGAAACAGCCAAGTTGAGGAACAAGGAGGTAAAAAAAGTGGGGAGAGAAAAAATGTGTACCCTTCCTTCCCTGGTTTCATTTACGTGACACTGTTACATATTTTTTGGGTATTTATTTGTAATCCGAGTCAATACTATAATGCAATTGGACATAATTAAGATCTTATTTGTCGTAATTTAAAAAAATTATAAAATTAAAAAGTCATTATCTTATTTAAATTACATTATTTTATTTAAATCATATCACTTCTCTATCACATTATTTCAAACTCAACCTATATCCAATGTATATTTCATAAAAAATAAAAAATACATTTATTTAGATCATCACTAACTACCCCTAAAATGAAAAAATATAAAATTTTACATATTAAATTATTTTTTTTATGATATGAGTTGTAGAATTCACAGATGATGTGAATTTTATATTTATGTGAAAAAAATAATAATTTGGTGTGTAAATTTTTTTGTGTCAATACCTTATACTCTATAAAATAATGCCTTAATCCCTCTCATAAAACTAATAACCTCACATGTTCATGATTTTATTTATATCTTAACCATTTATGTTTAAAATTTATAGAAAAATAATAAATATATATTTTTACTTCGATTTTAAATTTAAACTAATAAATTATGTATTTAATTAATATATCTTATTATTGTGAAACAAAAATAGTAATATTATTATTGTAAAAAAATCATGATAAGATCATTATTTGTTTCTATAGTACATATATGTAGGGACGAAATCAGGATTTCATCATTACAAGGATTAGAAGATAAATAATATTTTTTCACCGTATAGACAAACATGTGTATGTATAATACGATATATAAATTATATATACGCATAATTTTTTTTTCAAATATCATATAAATAATTTTTAAAAAAAATTATAAAAAATAAAAAGAGCATGCAAGATGGAAAAATAATGAAATATACATCTTTTATACTAATACATCATTTTATTTATAAAACAGGAGAGTTATGGTCCCGTAGTTTTTTCTTAATTTCATTCATACATATATGCTAGATAAAACTCTTTAAAACGTGAATAATTATTTTACTTTTTAAAAATACCATGTACAAAATGAAAAAATATAAATAATAATAAATAAGTCACCAAATATTATTCACCAGACACATGATCATATAGTGTATCGAATCCACCTAATAATTACTTTTTCCTAATTTCATTCATGCATATATGCTAGATAAAACTCTTTAAAACGTGAATAATTATTTTACTTTTTAAAAATACCATGTACAAAATGAAAAAATATAAATAATAATAAATAAGTCACCAAATATTATTCACCAGACACATGATCATATAGTGTATCGAATCCACCTAATAATTACATAAGAATAATTTAATCAATACTTTATGCGGTGGCTATAAACTTCAATTAAAAATTAGGTGGATGGCCTTGGTCTAAGGTATGAGGTTGTTTTGCTCGCTGGGCTCGCTTGCTTGGTAACATTTCTCATAGTTTAGGCCCATAACTGCATTCAAGTCCACATAAGTATAGATTGGGCCCAGAACTTCATGGCTCCATTACAATTTGATTTTAGGGGATGCACCAATAAATCCCAAATTAATAACTTATACACTGTTTAGTTCTAAAAGTTTTCTTATAGACTAAAAGGTCCCATTACAATGTTTCAAATATCAGATTAATGTTTCGAATATTAGATTTCGAACATCAGATTAATGTTTCGAACATTAGATTCCAAACATCAGATTAATATTTCGAACATTAGATTGATGTGCAAATGGGACTAAATGGAGCATAAGAAAACTTTTAGGACTAAATGGTTTAACTTTTCAGAAACTAGGACTTATGGGTAAATTTTCCTTTGATTTTTAGGTGAAGGTTTGTTTGAGAGTGTAAATAATAATAATAATAATAATGTGTAATTAGAACATGAAATGAAATAAAAACTCAGACAAAAGGGCGTTTGGGGAGTGGCTATTTTAGCCAAAAAGCCAAAAAGTCAACTAAAACTAGTCACATCACCTCTCTACTTTTTTGCACATCTTTTCGTAAAAAGTTAAAAAATTATTAAAATAGCCTGTTCCCAAACGAGGCCTTAATCCCAATAACATGGGTTGGTAAACTAATAATTAGTGTGGATTACGATTACCGTCATGATCATGATCACGATCGCAATGAGAAAGGTAAAAACTATTCAATAAGAACAAATTTCAACAAAAATAGAAATAACAAGAATCTCAACATTAATTATGATTCGCGAGTAAAACAAATAGATATCGCTTTTAGTAGATGTAACGATTTGCGATTGTATGAATCAGTTATGAGCATCTTGAAATTATATGTTATAGTAAAATTTAATATTTACACATTTATTGATGTCGTATTGAAAACTTTTAGTAATGCATTAATAACTAATTATAAATACAAACTAATAAAATAGTTTTTATACAGTTTACCATGTACGGTGGGATGAAAAAAAATATGCTTTTTTACTTGTGACAAGTTTTCACATTGATTCCTTTGTTTCATAAAAGGTATATACACAAGCATTTTTCAAAACAAATAGTTTGTTTATATAGTTTATAATGTTAGGTAGGATGAGAAATACATACTTTTTTCACCTATGGTTGGCACGTTTTTACATTGACCCCTTTGTTTGATGTAAGATTGTTGAATGTTAAAAAATAGATATAGGTCATTAACAGAAATCTATATACATAAGAGATGATATGTTGAAAAATTACAATTTTTTTGTAATGAAAAGAGAGATAATGATATGAATTTTTTAAATTATTTTTACCAAATATGAGACCATTGTCACCATTAAAAAACAATGATAGTGAAATTTGAAAACTTATTTTTACCAAATATGAGACCACCATGGTCACCATTTTACCACCTTTTTCTCAGACAAATTGGGATTGATTACCAATTAATAGTTCCAATCATTTGTCCACATTACACCATTCTGAAATCATCACCAATGTTGAAAATGACAAATTACCATAAGAAAAACAAAAAATAACAGTTCCTAGTATGTGCACACAACTTAAAAATATTAGACATTATAAGCTACTTTAAGATAGTTAATTCCATAATAACTTATTTTAAAATGGGGCATTTTTAAAATTTTGCGATAAAAGTGTTATATCAAGTTATTATAAATTGAAAGTCTGAATCAAATTCTATATTATTTTCTTGAGACTATTTAGTCTAATCTTACTTTTTATTCATAAATTGAATGCGCTCAATAGTAAGTGATGATAAAATAATAAACAAAAATGCTACAAACTCATATTTCTTCCCACAAAATACACAGAATAAAAAGTTGGTAGCATTGCATATTGGAAAATGCTATGGACCCACTACACTCCACCAACATTACGTTTTGTATATTTTTTGAAGGAAAAAAAAAAAAACAAAAGAAGTTAGTAGACTTCTAGAAAAATAGAATATAAAACCGCTTTACTCCCTTGGTAAAGCAAATTTGACTCTAGCTATATATACAATTAATATATAATACACCCTTCTCCCAACCTCCAACTCTTATCTTCATAATAATATTTTATTGCATTAAGAATAAACATAAAAAAAAATTTCTTAAAAAGTCTAACACATATGATTATTATCAAAATATTAAACTTTAATATAATATAATAAAAAAAAGATATTTAATTCCTTAAAAAGTCCAACACATATGATTATTATCAAAATATTAAACTTTAATATAATATAAAAAAGAAAAAAAAGAAGACATTTAAAAAAAAAACATTTAAAAATCGCAATTCACATATATAGCTAATTGTAAATATATTAAGAAAAAAGGGGTTTCTAAACCCCAAGCCTTGTGGGAGTTCCAATCTCTCAATCTTAATTTTCTAAATTTTTTATTTAAAAAAAAACCTCAGCATTTATTGATTTGGTCAAAATCCCCTTATCAGTATTTATTAACTTTTTTCAATCCACATATATGCATTTATTGATTTGGTCAAAATCCCTGATTAGCATTTAAAATCCCCTCATACAAATAATTATAGATACAACCCGTGCATAGTTACTGCAGTAGTTTTTTTAATTTCTCCTGTACAAAATTGTTAAATTATTTTTATAAAAAATTTTAAAAAACATAATTTATATATTAAAAAAAATCTAAAACAAATACAAATATCTATAATTATCTCGTGCATGGCACGGGTGATAGGCTAATCTATACTATTTATTAAGCAAAAGGGGGTTTTAAACCCCAAGCCTTGTGGGAGCTCCAATCTCTCAATCTAAATTTCTTGATTTTTTAATTTTTTTTTTTTAACAAAAAAAAAAAAAGGCCTAATTTGCAGCCATCATCATCATCATCATCATCATCCCCACCCATTATTATTATTAGTTGATTGATGACTCAAACTGTATGGGGCCTTCTCTGAAGGCTAACAAGTGAGTAGTATGCTCCATTGGGCCCCTTCCCTAACAAAGAAGAGTGGGTCCCTCTCTCCACAACCGTCCCTTTGTCCAACACGGCGATCGTATCACAATTCTGTATGGTACTTAACCTGTGCGCCACCACCACACTAGTCCTTCCCACCATTACTCTCTCAAGTGCGTCCTGTACCACTTTCTCCGATTGGCTATCCAATGCACTGGTCGCCTCGTCTAGCAATAGAATTGCTGGGTTTTTCAGTATAGCACGAGCTATAGCAACTCGCTGCTTCTGACCCCCTGAGAGCTGCAATCCTCTGTCCCCGCACCATGTGTCGTACCCGTCTTTCAGTCCCGCGATGAAATCGTGAGCGTTGGCTGCCTTAGCGGCCTCGATGATCTCTGTTTCATCTGTCTTATCGGACGCTCCGTATGTGATGTTTTCGCGGATGGTCCCAGCGAATAGAGTTGGTTCTTGGCTAACAAGCGCTATATGTTTCCTTAATGATCTCAGATGGAATGTCCTTATGTCACGACCGTCGATTTTGACTACCCCGCCAAGTGGGTCGTAGAATCGCTCAATCAATCCAATGATGGTGGACTTGCCGGACCCACTTTGTCCTACCAACGCCGTTGATTTCCCTGATTCAATGTTGATTGAAAAGCCGTTGAAGATCATCACATCAGGCCTCGCCGGGTACGCGAATTCGACCTCACGTAGCTCCACATGGCCTGTTATTTTGTTAGGTTGGTGACCTTCTGGGTCATCGGGCTCAATTCCAGTGTACCGGTCCAGTACTGCAAAAACTGATCCGACCGCATCCGACCCTTTTGCAAGGTCGTTAGTCATGGTACCCGCATCTGCAATGACCCGGCCCGTGCTCACTAAGATCATGAAGGTCTCAAAGAGGGCTTTGGCAGTAATGTAGCCTTGAGATATGAGTTTGCCACCATACCAGAAGTCCAAGGCCCAAGTGCATGACATGAGGCTTTGGGAGGTACCAAGCCCAATACCAGCGAACCATGATTGTCGGATACTCTCTCGTTGTGGGCCTTCTTGTGCATTTTCCAGCATTTGGAGGATTCGGGCTTGGGAGGAGAAGGCCGTGACGGTTCTGAGGTTGGAGACAGCCTCGGCCGCAAGCTTGCTACTTTCATTTTGGGCCTTGATAGCCTTTTTGGACATGCTTTTGAGCAAGACACGTTTGCAATAGTAGCAGACGATGATGAGGGGTTGGACAGCGATCATGACAACCGCGAGCCTCCATGCGATGATCAGGCCCATGGTGCAAGCTATTGTTACTGCTGAGAAGGTTTGGATAACGAGTGCCATTCTATCACCCACCAAAGATCTCACCTGCAAAAATTGTGAAAACAACACACCCAGTAGTAGTTAGGCTAAAAGTAAATGTAAGGAATTCAAGTCCCAACGGGCTCACTTGGGCTTGTTTGGTCCTAGTTGCTTTGGGCCTTTATATCGTTTGGTCCTGAGTTGAATTTGGACCAAGCCTGACAGTAAGCTAATAACATGTATGGTCCAATTAGTTCCTCCAGTTTTAAGATTAAAAGGAAACCTTAAAAAGAATATATATATATATATATATATATAAATTTCTTCATAATTCTTTTATTTTAAAAAAAATTCTCTATGAGATTTTAATTGTTCCTTTAGGAACAAACAAATTTTTTATTTTTAACAGAATGGAAAAGGTTCATTTGTGTATTTTACAAATAAGTGTACATTTTTTAAAAAAAAAAATGGTCTATGCGTAGAATAATTTCAAAATTCTTAACAAAAAACACACCCTTAACAAAAGTATTTTTCATTTCATTTAAGTTGTGCAGAATAAAAGTAAACGTCACACGTTGCTTTCAAGTCACACTTGACAATGAGTCTAATTAATATATATACGAATTTTACACTTTTAATAAATGCACGAGATTAGCACCCTTAATTACATGCAAGATCATTAGAATAATTATTGGAGTCTTTACCTAACCTCTTTGTAGAGGTAGGTTCATTTTTTAAACACATTACCATTATCCTTAATCTCGAGATTTTAAAAGGGTTGTTAGAATCTTAGCCAATCACCCTAGATCTAGAAATAGATATGTGTAATTATCTGATAATTCTTTAATAACGTACATATATCATAGTTAATCATTTTAAATAATAAATTTTTTTTCTTATTCTTCAACAACCTACATATATCATAGTTAATCATTTTAACTAATAAAAAATTAATTGTTCTTCAACAACCTACATATATCATAGTTTAATCATTTTAACCAAAGAACTCTGAGGCAATCAAACTAACAATAATCAGTGTATAATATAACTACCACTTCGCCAAGTTATTTGGTGTTTCATAGGGTCGTGGCACCACTCAAGAACAAATACTCTTTGTGAATGTCATTACTGGTGAAAAATGTTTGAGAGTACTAATTTGACACTACTAATTCATTTCTAATGACATGAAATGGATCATTCCAAATGATATGGAATGAATCATATGAAGAGAGAAACCCACACTCCTCTCTCTTTTAACAATGTTATGCCTTTCTAATTTATCACTCTTAATGATATGATATTGAGACTAGACCCCACGTAATAGAATATTTAACAAATAAAAATTTGACACTTATTAGACACATCATTAGGGGTGATTTTTAAGGGTGATAAATTTGGTGTCTCAAGCATTTCAGCAATGATTCAAAGCACTAATTTTGATATTCTAATGAAGCACTAATGACATGGCAAGGAGAAGGAAAAAAAAATCAAGACCAAAACATCACATTAAAATGGGTGGAGCCCACTACCAACTTATTAGAACTGGCTTTAGAACTTAATAATTAGAGCTCTAAAGCATTTTTCCAAGCATTTTTCCTCCTCTATTCTCTCTCTTTCACATCATTAGGGATAGATTAAAGGTACTATATTGATAAGACGTAACATATTTAGCATGATTGTTAGTTAGTAGTTTTTTTAAGAATCGCTTATTCAGTGACATAGATCTAGGGGTGTAATTTTGGCTTGGCTCAACCCGGCCTATGTCGGGTCTTGCGGGCTCCTGCCAAAAATCGGGCCTAGCCGAGCCGGCCCACGGGCAAAAAAATAAGCCCAGGCTCAAGGGTATTCGGGTTTTGGGCGGACCTAAACAATTTTTTAAATTTTTTCCATCAAAATTTTATTATTTTCCATTAAAAATAACACTGAGCCTCAGGTAGGCCGAGCGGGCAGGGTCTCGGGTCGGGCTTTTGGGCGAGCCTTGACCGGGCCGATGAGTCAGGCCATGGGCAGGGCTTCAAAACGATGGCCCAGGCCCTGGCCCAAGGTCTCAGGCTGGACTTGGGCCCAGGCCTAAACGAGTCAGGCCCACCTCGGGCTGCAGACGGGCTTCAGGCCGGCCGCGGCCCACGGGCTAAAATTACACCCCTACATTGATCACAAAGTATATATAGAGCTTAATAACTTCACTCTCTACGTTACCTATATTTCACTGTAACTAAATTAGCCTTCGTTTGGCAATGACTTTTTTAGTTAGTTTTTTGATTTTTTTTGATTTTTTCAACTTTTTTAACTTGAGACTTTTTTGTTCGTTTGGTATTCTTGATTGCTTTTTTGACTTTTTGCGATTTTTTTACTTTTTTATCCTTTTGTAATTTTTTAACTCAACTCAAAAACCAAACAACTCCTTAATTTCCAATGATCAACTTAATGTATTTTCGTCGAGGTATGCCATCGGACACCCCATCATATAAAAAAAAAAATGTTTACCTAGGGAGAGCCTAGTGTATGAAGTGCAAATGATTGTAGTAAATTTTTGAAGAGAAACGTGCACAGAATATAATATTGTCAGTATTGTATTATGTGTATATGGGAAAAAAATAAATAAATAAATAAAATTGAGATAGTAGAAGAGTAAACATACCACATTAGCATCTTTGGCGAGGCTAGAGCAAATAGCACCGCTAGAATTCTCATCCCGATCAAACCACCCAACTTCAAAAGTGAGTATCTTCGAAAACATCCTCTCTCTAATTCTCTTCGTCAAGTACTCTCCCATGTAAGCGAAATTATAATGCTGAGTTATATTAATCACTAGCGAAAACACCGCCAATCCAAGAAAACACAACGCATATCCCCTCGTCCTCGACTCAATCTGACTGTGATCAGGCAAAAAATACACCGATATCATCGACGCCATTGCAAAGGCATAAACTGCATGAACCGCCACCAAACAAAACCGCACGAACACCCCATAATCGCTTGCTTCCATTCCGGCAGATTCATCGCTAACAGTCTCCGAAATGACTGTACTCGAAAAACTTGCTCTTCTTTGATTTTATCATTAGTTTCAGCTCTCTGGCTCATTGCGGCTGAGTTTGCAGAGCTAGATCGACTCACCATTGACAGTCTCCGACTACTCGTGTTGTTCGTGTCGAATTTCGCAATTGTATTGGAAGATGTTGATGCTGTCATGTTGTTGCTGTCTGATTTTTCGGTTTGTTGGAGTTGAATTAGGGATGTGTAGAGGCCGTTTTCATCTTGGATTAATTGGTCGTGTGAGCCGGTTTCCATTACCTGACCGTTTTGGATAACTGCGATGATGTCGGCATTGCGGATGGTGGAGAGGCGGTGGGCGATGATGATGGTGGTGCGGCCAACCGCGGCCTTGTCGAGTGCTTCTTGCACGATTCGTTCGGATTCGGAGTCTAATGCGCTTGTGGCTTCGTCCAGGAGAAGAATGCGTGGTGCCTTGATTATGGCTCTTGCGATTGCGATTCTCTGCCTCTGGCCTCCAGACATTTGGACACCCCTCTCACCCACCTGTAAAAAATATATATATAGCAATTAGTAAAATTATTCACTTTTTTATCCCATCAATTTAAACAGTAAATATTATGTATGCTTTATCAATTAAAATAGTTAATTTTTCAAACGATGCCATTAATTGTTGTGAATGTATGCAAGAAGTGAAAAAATTAATAAAATTAATCCGATAACATATATCATTTTTCACTATTTAGCTCTTAAGACAACATTAATGGTAATTCCAATGGTAATATGAAGATATTTTGAAATCTTTTTTGGTAACTAAATTAGAAAAATTAATAAATAGCGTAACTCAAAATTATGGGTTCAAATTTTAAGAGGCAATCGTGAAAAAAATCTTTTTTTATTTCACTTGAGGTCTTTTTCAGGATTAAGCCCTAATAACTACTTGAAGGGTAAATTATATTGACACCCCTGAGATTTATATTTATTGCAGTTTCTTCCCTCACTTTTTGAAAATTACATCTTCCTCCCTGAGGTTTAAAGTTTCAAAACAATTCCCCCTTTCACCGTAATGATCATTACACATAAAATTAAATTAACAAGGGAGATCAATGTAATTTTTCAAATGTGAGGGGGGAACAGTAATAAATATAAACTTCGGAGGGTGTCAGTGTAATTTACCCTTATTTGAAATATATAATAGTTTGTTAGAGTATCTCCATTCAAACTTTGAAATATTGATATGCTAAATTTTTTTGAAATTTATTAGATAATAAATTGACAAATACAAATTATATAATATAAGCAAAAACGTTGTGAGCTCTTTGAGTCTCAAAACTCTAATATTTTTCTATGATTTTTTATTTTTTAAATACAAAAAATACATTTGTAATTATTCTATTGGTTCTTTCCAATTTACTATTATTTTCTTTTAATTTCATTAAATAGTCTAATAATCAATATGGTAAGTTCTTTAAAAAAAGAAAAGAAAAGAAAAGAAACAAATCATACAATTTTAGAATTCTCAATTCTCCTTTTAAAAATATAACTACACAAAACGAAAGCAAAAAGTAGATAAAGGAAATATTAACAAAAGAGAAATTAACGACATGAAAACCATCAAAAATTCAACAATAGTTATAAATATGCATACCTCATAGTTGTATTTCTCCTACAAAAAAAACTCCAGCAATCATATACCTCTAATAAACACATTATCTACACATATCATAATTGAGCTTGGTTTTAACTATTTCAATATCTTTTCCAAAAATAATAAAAGTTACACAAGTTTCCATCACTTTATAGCTTTAATAATAGAGTTCTAACCAGAACTCTACTGAATACTGATGTGAATATTGATGTGGCAGGGTTAAAAAAACATAAATATCACATCGCTATCCATACAATTAGAACTTCTTTAAAACACTTATTTTAAAACTCCCAAACATTTTTGGTCAACTCCAATGTATAGAATCTTGAGTGGATGTACTATTAGGATGTTAATTTTATATTTTGCTAAGGGAATACTTGTGGCTCCAATAGATTGTTCTGATTAGCTGAATTTTTATTTATTTAAATAAATAAAGTAAAAAAAGTGATTATCTGGAGATGTAGTGTTAGTAATGGCAGGCAGAGAGATGATGTTGCCGTTGAAAGGCTGTACCCAATCTTAAGAATTATTAATTAAGAATTTTTCGACATTAAGGAACTTAAAATCTAAGTAAGTACTGTATTATTATTTAATGATGTTGAATTGTTTTTTTATTTAAATAAATAAAGTACAAAAAGTGATTATATGGAGATGTAGTATTAGTAGTGGGAGGCAGAGAGATGATGTTGCCGTTGAAAGGCTGTACCCAATCTTAAGAATTATTAATTAAGAATTTTTCGACATTAAGGAACTTAAAATCTAAGTAAGTACTATATTATTATTTAATGATGTTGAATTGTTTTTTTATTTAAATAAATAAAGTACAAAAAGTGATTATCTGGAGATGTAGTATTAGGGTTGTTTTGGAAAGATGGTAAAAAGTGATTTTTTGACTTTTAACTAAGCTTTTGGCTTTTTTAGACAAATGATTTGGGAAGTTAGTAAAAAGTGACTTTTAACTTTTTTGATTAATATTTGTTTATGATGTCAAATCATAATAAAATGACCAAACTACCCCCATTTATTTAAAATATTTACAACTTTACCTATGTAACACATTTTGACCCATGAAGGGTAAAATTATAATTTCACCGTTGGCTAAAAACCAACTTCCCAAATGAAAAAAAAGCCAAAAAAGTCAACTTTTGACTTTTATTACTAATCAAAAAAAAGTGACTAAAAATTATGTTGCCAAAATAAGCCATAGTAGTGGGAGGCAGAGACAGAGAGATGATGTTGCCGTTGAAAGGCTTTACCCAATCTTAAGATTTATTAATTAAGAATTTTTTGACATAAGGAACTTAAAATCTAAGTACTGTATTATTATTTAATAATGCATCCATATAAAGAAATTTTATGATGTTTCGGGAAATTGTGCCTAATCTTGTCCCTTTCCAAAAAAAAATAAATAAATAAAGAAAGAGATGGCCACTTTCCAAGTATGGGGGCCACGGAACATTTTCTTGCTGGATTTGTATGAGAATAACTAGTGTGAACGGTATATAAATCTTTTAAAATAGTTAGTGTAGATTGTTCTAAATAAATGTATTTTTTGATTTTTTATAAAATATGAGTTGAGTTTGAAGTGATTTGATAGACAAGTAATGTGAAATAGAATAATGTGATTTAAATAGAATAATAATTTTTTAACTTTCTAATTATTATTATTATTATTATTATTTTTTTTTTTTGAAGATGCAAACCAAGCCTTAGTAATCTGACTTGTGAGGATGATAGTATAATATTTTGATACATTGAACATCTCTGACAAGGCCACTTCTACCTAATTGTCATTGCTATCAATCAACCTACATAAAAAAAAGCCTTACATTTTCATCCATATTGTATGATTTGTGAAATTTTCCATAATTAATTTGTAATTGTTAGGACATTAGATTGTCAAGAAAAATTATTGATTGGTCTTGGAGTATCACGTGATCATATTTCAAGTCAATCACAAATTTTTATGTCCTCTCACGTTCTCTAATCACCTTCACCTAACACAAAATCATAGGCTCCACTCTATTCACCAATCATAATACATGTTGAGCGTCACGTGATACTACTGTTGAACCAACTAATAACTTTTTAAGTGTTGTGCTAATTACACATGTAGCCATGTGTTTGTAATTATAAAATTAAATAAAATTATGTGCACATAATTCTTGCACAGAAACATAATTATAAAGATAACGTGATGTTGAAATTCTTATACGGTGAAACTCACATTTAAATGATTTTAGACAATCCATTTAATACTCTGATTATTTTTTGCGTACGAATTATATGTATTCAACTTTGCTCTTATAAAATTGTATACCCATTAAAAAGGGTATTTTAGTTTTTTTAGTGATAATTATTTGTGTAATTAATATTGAATTTTCAATTTTTAAAAGTACTTTTGAGTCTTCAATCTATATCTATCTATATATATATATTTTTATTATTAGTATTTTTTTAATATTTTAACCAATCTTTTAGATCTATTTAGTCTAAATATATTTAAAAGTTATAAAATTTATGAATTTTAAAAAATCAATAAATACAAAAATTCAATATATTTTCATTTTTTTTTGTATTTATTAGTAAATTTTTTTTATAAATATTTTATTTTTAAAGTACATCTAGATGTGTCTAAAAAAAAAAAACTAATAAAACAAAATATGAAAAATAAAAAACTTGAATATTCAAAACTGTGTTGAAAAAAAAAAGAGTGACAGTATCAAATTTAAAGAATGGTGAGGTGAGATAGCTGGAGGGAGCCGCGGTGTAGTTCAGACGATTTGAAAGTAAAATTATAAATTGAATGACAGATTAGCAACTTGACAAATTGTTAAATTACGATGTGAGGCGTCTTGGGCGAATTGACGGGTTAAAGAATATTCTAATCAATTATCAAGCTTTTACATAATATATAACACTAGTTTGTATAATATTTTTTATATATATAATACAAATTAATTTTACATAATATTTTTCATATAGATAACTACTAATTTTTAATAAATTTGACATATTAAATATCTTTCACACTTATTTTTATTTTGATATTTTACTATAATTTAAAAATATACATTAACTATATCGAAACGATTTCAAAAATAGAACCTAAATCGCAATTAACCGATAGAAGGATAGAAATTAATACGATTTAATGTAATTTTGACTAATTTGGCGGTACTTTAGACCGCCGTAGAGGACAAGAATAAGTGACTAACCTGAGTATCATATCCCTGAGGCAACTGAGAAATGAAATTATGAGCATTAGAAGCTTGCGCAGCCTCAATAACTTCATCCATGTCAGCCTTCTCCTTGCCGAAAAGTATGTTCTCCGTAATCGTGGTCGCAAACAGCGCCGGCTCTTGACTCACCAACCCCATCTGTGACCTCAGCCACTTCAACTGCATCTTCTCTATCCCCACTCCATCAAGCAATATCTCTCCCCCCACTGGATCATAAAATCTCTGCAGCAGTGCTATCACCGTCGACTTTCCTGACCCACTCCCCCCCACCAGCGCCACCGTCTTCCCCGCCGGAATCTCCAGGTTGAAGTCTCGGAAAATCGGCGACTCGGGCCGCGATGGGTACGCGAATTCGACGTGTTTGAATTCAACTTCTCCTGAAACGGTTTGCAGTGTTTGGCCTTCCATGTTGTCGGAATCGATTTTGGGTACTCTTCTTATTACTTCCATTATTCGATCTCCTGCTGCTGATGCGTCCGAGAAGTACTTCACGTTAGATAATCCCGATCCGAGTGATCTGATCCATGTCAAGAAATATTAAATAATTAGAATAAATTTCTATACACAATTTCTATATAGTTATAAATTATTATAATAATTATTGATATTATTTTTTAAAAAAATATATCATTCTGTATAATAATGTTTTGTATAAATGTTTTTTTTTTTTTTTTTTGACATCACTATTAAGGCACACACATACATGAACACAAAATCACATTAGGCGTTACATTCATGCGGTTCCATTTTGGAAAAGGAAAAAGTTAGGGATTATGAAAAAAATTTCATGAAAATGATCATGAAAAATTTATAATTCTTGGATTACCTTGATTAGTGTGTAGTGTTTTATTCTAAGTGTAGTTTAAGGGTCACAAAACATTTATGATTATTTTTATGAAAATTTTTTCGTGATACGTAGCATTGTTGTTTTGGAAACACCTGTTTGTAGCATTTAATATTTTCGTAGAGAAGCATTAAATAATTATTGGATATTCCGAGCATCTATATACTGGAAAATTACAACTAAATATTATGTATTGAAAAATTTTATGAATGAAATTTGACTTTATCAAATAGTTGAGAGACATGAAACAATTTACTTAATGTGTGTTGTGATTATTTAATAATTTTTTTAAGTTTAATTTTAATTTAAAAAAAAATATTTTTGTGAATAATAGTATTTATGATCTTTATATTTTGTTTTTGAATGTTAAATTACATTTCGTGTAGCAACAACCAAACAAAATTTCAAAATTAGTGGAAACAGAAGCCGAAAACAGGAATTGTGGCATAGTGGTGGGTCCAGCTTACTTTTTATACCCACCTTCGTCTTATAATAATTTTTTTTTTTAATAACTGAGTGTGCTGACTAGCACCATTTTGGAGCGTCGTAGCTCGATTAATTTCGAAATTTTGAATGGATTAATTAGATAAAGACGTAATGACCCGTTAAGATTCAAACTTGAGACTTAAAAAGGAATATATTTCTAAATTTCTGATCTCTTATTTTCAACTAACTGAGCTGTCCTTACGGGGTTTATAATAATTACTTAAACTTAAAAAAACTGCTTTCCTATATTTATTACAACTTATTATAGAGCTGATAAATGAGGGGGAAAAAAACTCAATGAAATTAGCCATACCCAATATGGTTTACAGAGCAAAAGAAAACAAGATTCAAAAAAAAAAAAAAATGAAAATGAAAATGAAAAGAAAACCTTTTGTTTTGTTTTGTGTTTTTTGTTTTTTTTTTTCATCCTTTTAGGTGGCAAGGTAAAGTTGACAAAAAAAAATAAAGTGGATTGTGAAAGTTTTCAGTTTTCAGTTTGTTTTATTATTATTTATTTTTTTAGAAAATGAAGATGCACATTAGGCTTCTTATGGAAAACCGACAACTCAACAACACAGTAGCATTTTGAAAAGTTGATAAAAAATTATTTTTTTTATTTTTTGATTTTTTTAATAACTTTTTTAACAAAAAATTGAGTTATTTTTCATAAAAAAAAAATTGATTTTTTTGAATTAAAAAAATTAAAAAGTCAAAAAAATTAACTTTTTTGACTACTTCTCAAAAGAAACCAAAATATGGCATAATAATTTTGGAATATAAAAAAAGTTAAAATAATATATATATATATAATTAGTAAAAAATATTTTAAAATACGTGAAAATTGTTTCTTGTTGGTAATATCCTTTTGGGAGACGAAGAAATATAAAAGGAGGGAGATGACTTACAATCCACCGATGGCGATGGCGGCGCCAACAGCGAAGACGGTCCCACCTTGAGAACCATGGTACATGACCATTCTACTACCATAATAGGACATGAAAGACCATATTGCAAACACTATGCCATTGCTACCAATGGCAAGTCCTTTGGCCATGCCTTGCCTCAGCCCCAACTTAACAGTCCATTGAAGAGCTGAAGAGTACTCAGCTGTGGTTTTGTTCTCTCCCACAAAAGAATAAACGGTCCTGATTGATGAGATTGCCTGCTCTGCAATCGTACCGGCCTTGTTGTACTCTTCCCTCATCTTTCTTGCTATTCCCATCAATGATCTTCCGTAAATCAAACCAGGTATTATAAGAAGTACCACAAATGGAAATCCCACAATTGCTAGTCTCCACAGCATCGCGAATGCCACTACGTAGGACCCTATGAATGTTGCTAAATTCATCAAGAACACTGGGACCTGTTATGAAATCAAAACCCATTAGCTATCATATCATTGTACACAATCCTTTGTTCCAGACTTTTTCTTTACAACACGATGAAGTAAAAAAAAAAAAACTTTTTTTGGTGTTTATTTTTATCAAAATTAGTTGATAATTGTTTGAAAAAAATTCAAAAACGGATTTTGAAAACTCAACGAAACTTGAATAAAGGATGGAAAAAGAGTACTGACCTTCTCACTAATAGCATCTTGAATTACAAGACTATCGTTAGAGACGCTAGTGATGACCTCTGCGGTGCTTGTTACATGCAAATCGAAGTAACCCACATCTTGCCTTAGCACTGCCTTCAAATATCTTGTTCTCATTCTCGAAGCTTGTCTCTCTGCTGTTCTTGTCCAACAATATCCCTCTGAAAAATATCCCACAAAGTCAGAAGAAAAAAAGAAAAAAGAAAAAGGAGAACTTTTCATGTAAAAAAAAAATTAGTAGGAAAACCCACCAAGGAAACAAGCGACCCATTGTCCACAAGCCACATAACACAAAACCACTGCATTCTGTAACCCAAGAGACCAAACACATTAATTAAATTCACATAACAATACATACATACATACACAATTGATGCCTATATGTAGAGTGAGAGAGAGAGAGAGAGACCTTGCTGATGTTTTGAGTGAAGAAATCTGAAACTGTGCCACCAATATTGTTCATGATCTTGCTAGTAATAAACAATACCACGGGCATGGAAAAGCCATCCCCGAGGGCACCGAGGATGCCAAAAGCCATCAACAACATATCAAAACCGTCTGCATGCACGAAAATGGATCGAATAGACCCGTTTCTCTTCTTTTCAATCGCCATACTTTCCTCTCCCATCTTTGATCTTTCAATTCTTACCTACTATATAGTTGTTCTCTGTGTGTGTGCGCGCGCGCTTGAGATGGAGATGAGAAAATACTATAGAGTAAGATTGTGAGAGGAGTTGATGGGTAGCTTGGTCCAAAAGCAGCAGTCATTTAACTATCAACTGATGAGAGAATGTAAATATGAAGATGGCTATATATATAGAGGTGAAGTGTTGAGAAGAGGGGGAGGGGTTCATCATATGGTGAGTTTAGTTAAGGTGCTAGCGTGTGTCAGGTTGTATTATATTATGGTAAGTACGATACATGTGGTTTGAGGAGAGGGGATCACGGTTGATTTTACCCTTTACTAGATATTATTCAATACTTTCGGAACATCACGTGTTTATATTTTAAGTCAATTACTAATTACTTAATCTCATCTTGTTTTTTCATTTTCAATATAAATTGTGGATCCTTACATCTTTTTTGACCAATCAAAACTTTATAAAACACTCTATGACTATATTTTAGAACAACAATGATTCATCCCACTAAAAATATCACCACTAATAGCACTAATGCATTAAAAAAGTAAAAAAAAAATATATATATATAACTCCAAAATCAAAATATCACATCATTAATAACGGGACCCACTGCCACCTAATTAGTGGGAGCACTAATTAGTGCTCCCAAGCATTTTTCATTTTAGAAGTATTGAATAAACACCCACTCTTTACACAGTTGTCGTCATTAATGACGACGCTATGGACTTGGGGTCCACCACTCTCAACTTCAGTTTCATCAATTTCCAACAAAACTTTTTGGAAAATTAAAAAATAAAAATAAAAATTTCACCTTTTAACAAATTTAATTCTAAATTTTGAATATTAACTTACATTTTAGTTTTTTTTATTTGTTTTAATTTAAATATTTGTCTATTTTTATCAAATAAAATTAGTAAAAAAATAGTATTTTAATAATTAAACTTAATAAAAAATAATATTTTAAATATTTTATGTATACTTATATTAAATTTAATAACTAAAATATATATATTTTTTCTATCAATTTTACTAAACAAAAATTGATGAATAGTTTAAATTGAAAGTAAATTAAAAAATTGATGTTTAAATCCACAAAACTAAAAATGTAGGATTTATTTTGTTATAAGTTTCAAAGTTTAAGTTAAAACACGTATTAAAAAAACATAAAATTTTCATATTATAACCCTGTTTGGTAGAGCTGTGGGAAAGTGCTTATAACTTATACCTTAACAACTTATACCTTATAACTATAAACATAAGTTGATTTCTGATTTATAAATTAAGCTTCTCCTGCCCCACTCAAATAATAAGTTGATTTCTGACTTACAAAAAGCTATAAGCTGTATTGTTAAGTTAAACCAAACACATCAAAATAGCTTAAATTAAGTTGAAAGCTGAAATAAGCTAAAATTAAGCTGTACCAAATAGGGCCTATGTAAGATATGTGAGGAGAATAAGTAATGCATAATTTTATTAATTTTTTTTACGAATCTAAAAAATAATTTTATTAATTTTTTTAACGTATGTATGCCTTATTAATTAGTGGCTGACTGACCTATACAGGGATTGAAGGGGACCAGAACGACAGTGAATTCTATGGATTGATATAAAAAATAATAATTTTAGATATATATATATATATATTTTAAGTAAGAATTAAATTTTTAAAAATTGAGGATAAAATAATATTAAATTGAAGATACAATAGTATTGATGGTCATTTGAAAAAAAATAAAATAAAAAATCTCATCTCTACTTGACCATCACAATATTAAATTGAAGATACAATAGTATTGATGGTCATTTGAAAAAAAATAAAATAAAAAATCTCATCTCTACTTGACCATCACCCTCCAAGTTTTTTAAAATTAAATAAAATTTTCTTCAAATTTTTGAAATCATAATGTATGAATGTACTTTATTCAAATTTAAATCGAAATTTAAGAGAATTAATTGGGAGGTAGGTAGTTCTGTTTCAATGATTTGAACCATTCATTTTATAATGGTCTTCCTGTGCATCATTCATGAGGAAAATTATTTAAATCTGATGATCATAATATTTTTATGGGCGAGTTACACTAACGGTCCCAATAGTTTGGGACTTGTGTCACTTTAGTCCAAAACTTTTCAATTGTGATACATTTGATCATGAATTTTAAATTTTATTCTAAATAAGGAAATTTGACAACAAGTTTGATATCATTATTAAACTAATCCATTAAATCAAAAAATCTAAAACTAAAAACATTTTATATATTAAATATCGATTGTACATTAACATCCCAACAATCATCTATTACATAATCATCATCCAAGTACATAATAAAAATTAATTTGGTAAAATAAATAAATAAATAAATAAATGTGTAAAAGATTTATTAATTTTATATAATTTTATCTTTGGTGGGTAGATATAATTTTAAAAAATTCAAAAATATTTTTTTGACATTTATTTTTGTCAAATTAGTTTATATTTTATCAAATTGATGATTTTGCCTTCGAAATTAAACAATGGTATCTTCATTTGTCCTTATTTGGAACAATATTCAAAATTCAAGGTCAAATATGTCACAATTAAAAAGTCAATAACCAAAGTGCTATGAGCTCCAACCTATAGAGACTGTTAATGTAATTCGCCCTATTTTTAATTTGTTTTGTTTATCCAAAGTTTTTTTTATTTAAAATACTTTTGGTTGATTTTGTCGTCTCTTTTAAAAATTGAATAAAGATTGAAAACTCTAATTTTGAAACTATAGTGATGTGATAAAGAGTGGAATCCACATGTGATGTGATGTGATATGAATGTTTATATATATATATATATATTTTTCTTACCATATCATTAAAATTCTCTTTAAAACTCTAAAATTAAAATTCTCTATTATTGTTGTTAAAAATTTCACATCCCCGGCCTACGCTATTTTCAAGTACATCTGATTAGATTTAATGCTTATCAATGTTTGATTCACAAGACTAATAGTGAAGTATTAATAATCCTATTAAATTAGTGTGGTATTCACTATCCAATTGGATTAATATCTATTGGATTAATAATCCCACCCCTACCCCATTACTAATAATCCTACAAATTTGTTGGATTAATTATCCATTGAATTAATAATTCTAAACCAAAATGTTAAAACAAATATAGGATAATTGGGCCCACGGATTAATAATCTCAATTCCATACTCTAATCTACCCAATCAAACATACCCATCAGGTATAATCGAAGTAAGAGATTTACCTTCAGTTCTTTGTTGGGCAGTATTATTTCGATAATTTAATTTGTTAAAATTTTTAAATAGAGTATTTAAAAAAAATTAAATTAATTTAACAAATATAATGATAAAATTTTATTATATTTGTTTTAAAAAATGAAGATTGTTGCTATCCATTTTTTTTAAAGATTATATAATTATGATTATTCGATGAGTAATGCTACGCATATTATAAAAAATTTCATGAAACTAATTTAAGAGTGATTGTATAATATATAATAAATTATTACAAATTAATTCAAAGATGAAAAATTTTCTTAAAATTTTTCATAATGCCTAGCATAATTGTTATTTGATCACACTAATTTTTTTTCTTAATGAACTACACAAACACTTAACAAAATTAATGATTTAAAATTTTAAAACGGAACCCATGCCCACCATCCCCTTTGAGAGACAAACCTCTTTAATTATAAAAGGTTTTCAACTTAATTTTTTAATTAAAAAAAGAAAGGAAAATGTGCGCCCTGGATAGCCGTTGACCAGATTCACCACAGGATAACTAAAACCATTAATTAGAAGTTAATAATAATAATTAGAATGATTAGGATTCGATATTCCCTTTCATAACAGACAGCGTTAAGGAGGTCAAACATTATTCTATACATGTATATTGTCTTGGCGGGTATCCAGTCATACTTTAGTCTCATGCGTGACATAACATTAGTAATTTACTTTACTTCCCAACATCTTACTAATTTGAATTTCATGATTTTTCCCCCCACCTTCTACATGAATACATGTAAAAAAAAGTCTTACATGGGAATAATGTTAGGGATACTATATTTTTTAGTAAATAAATGATTAAATGTCTGGTAGGTGGACCCCACACCCATGTAAGACATTTGGTTATTTGTTTAGTAGAAAATTTGGGGTCTATAACATTTTCCATCGGAGTAATGTTATGTTAGAGATACCAAATTTTTTATCAAACAAATGATCAAATATCTCATATGGGTGTGAGGTCCACAAATGACCAAAAGTGGACCTCAATGATTAAATGTCTCACATGTTAGGGATATCAGGAATGGCCTTATAATACCAATTTTTTATTTTTATTTTTATAAAAAAGAAAAAAGAAAAAAGAAAAAAATTGACCTCCAATATCAATATCTATAGGTATAAAAAGTGAAAATAAAATAAAATAAAACATATATAGATAAGTATGTTAATAAGTTACAAAAATAAAAAATGCAAGTTAATTTATCTACAAAGCTAGTTGGAGTAGTGTTCAATGCTTTTTCATGTTTCATTAAAAATCTATTGGTAGAATTAAATGCTTTTCTTAATAAATGTAATGTAGTTAACTATTCTTGGTTTTACTCTTCAAAAATGCTAGAGGTCCCAAAAATTCTATCAAAAATTTTACTAAATGTCTCACATGGGTGTGGGACCCACATGGGACCCACATTGTGTGGGTCCCACAGACATTTGGTAAAACTTTTGGTCGAATATTTGGGGTCTCTAGCATTACTCTTTACTCTTTTCTTTACATATACTGGAGCTTGTAATGAATCCTAATTATGAGAATTTTTTTATTATTATTTTTTGGTTATATTTTTTCTTAACTATATATTTCGATCCCATGATTCATGAATATAGAAGGACTGTCACTTAATTTGTTAATAATAAAAAAAAATAAAAAATCTAAGAGTTAACACAATATTTTCGTCAGTTAACATTTTTTTTTCTTTCTTTCTTAAACAATTGATAAGATAGGAAAAAGAAAAAAAAATTACAATGTGCAACGATAATAATTAAACAAGAACATCACACTTGAGAAAAAGCCATGGGAGTGGGTGGGGGCACGACTCCCAAAACTTTATAAAATTCACATTACTTGAGCCCTCTCAAACGTCACAAAAACATTTTGCTTTCAGGCAATTTTAAAGTATTTATTTATAGCAAGATAACTT